TTTGCTCAGGAGTGTTCTCCACGCCCCATCTCTCTCTCTCTCTCTCTCTCTCTCTATCTCTCTGTCTCTCTGTCTCTCTCATGGTCATGCCTAAAAGACCATGGGATTTCCCTGAAGCCAGCCTGTTGCACTTGATGACATTATCCTGTGGCCTCATTGGCGGTGGTGTCCCTTCGTAGTAGAATATAAACCAGGTGCCACTGAGTAGATGCTGGTGCATCGTGACCTCGTGTGTCAGTGTGGAGTGGTGCTCTCTTAGGAGAAGCAGATCACCAGGCCTGTCCTCCATGATGCCGCTGGGGGACTCGCTAACCTTCCTTGTGGCAGCTGACTGTGTTACCTGTTTGCACCACCCTGGGGCTCCTAGACAAGAAGGTAACCCATTGCCTTTGTGGTGATTCCAACACATAGCAACCTGATAGGGCAGAGTAAAACTGCCCATGAGGTTTCCAAGGCTGTAATTTTTGTGGGAACAGACTGCTGAGCGGCAGGTAGGCATGTGCTGCTAACCATTGCCCCATCCTAATAGAAAATATCACTGTTGTTGTTAGGTGCCGTCAAGTCGATCACAACTCACAATGACCCTGCACACAACAGAACAGAACACTGTCCGCTCCTACGCTGTCCTCATAACCATTGCTGGGTTCGAGCCCATCGTCTGGGTTTGAGCCACGGTGTCAGTTCATCTCACTGAGGGGCTTCCTCCTTTGTGCTGACCAGAGGGTGCTTATTTTATAGCAGTCGAGTAGTCCATATATAATTTTAAGCAGGGTTGAGCTGATAGACGTATTTGGGCTTGCATCAGAGAAAGCTGAGCCTCGAGGAAAAGAGAGGCCTGATTAGAGGTGGCAGCTGTCATTCAGGCCTGTGGTGAAGACCTTGGCTGGCACTGACCTTGTGAATAGAGCGATGACACTCACATTGCACAATACTTAACATAGATTGTGTCGATTGTGAGATAATTTTAAGAAGTGGTTTCATTTTTATTCCCATTTTATTGAAACTCAGGCAGCTAGTAAGTTTCTGAGCAGAAAAGGCAAATTCAAGCGACCTTTTGTGCCAAGGGTCCACAAGAGCATTCTCGTGATCGGCAGTTTGCTAGAGGTGCTCACAGAACTTGGAAAATCTGTTGTACTCAAAATTACGGTGGATGGTGGTGAACGGGTACGGCACATGGGGTTGATTATGCACCGGGCAGAGTCCAGCGGAAACAAGCCCTGAGCTTGCATGTGTCCTCTCCCAATGGTGTTGCATGGACAGCACGTAATTCTCCCAACAGCCATGTGTGACAACATGTAAAAAGTGTTGCCAAACAGAGAAGTTCACCTGTGGTGCCCAGGGTCTTGTTGGGGACCGGTCACATAGGT